GCTCATGCTCAGTGCCAGCGGAAGCCTGAGCGTGGTCCTTGCTATCCTGGCCTCTGCTGAAGTTTGACCCACCCTCATCTAAACACATCAGAGCTGTTCTCTTGGCAGCCTCCAGTCCTGGGAGTGTTTTCCTTCCCACTCCTGTGGAGCACTGGCTTATTAACCCACACACCATGCAACCCCCGACTTCTGTGGAGCAGTGAATTGTGTCTTCCTCAAATATATATGTTGAAGTCCTACCCCCACTACCTCAGAATGTGATGTATTTGGAGAGAGGATCTTTACAGAGGTGGTCAAGTTAAAATGAGGTCACTAGGGTGGGCTTTAATACAATATGACTGGTGTTCTTATGAAAAGGATAAATTTGAGGACAAACCTACACACAGGGAGGACACCATGTGGAAGACAAAGGCAGAGGTTGGGGAGATGCTTCTATGTGGTAAGTAAAGTCAAAGATTTCACACATCTTTGAACATCAAATACGACAGTTTGGCATTTGAGAAAACAGCAAAAGCAGGAAAGTCACTATCACCTTCCCTTAGCCCTTTTCTCCAGAAGTAGGTCATAAAATCTAGAAAGAATTTTCTGAGCTTTCCCTGCAGCAGATCATAAGACCTTTATGTGAGAGGTGCCCTCCCTATAGCTGGAGGAAAGAAACATCCTTATCTCTGAGGACAGGGACACAGAAGAATCTGAACAAACAGGACTTGCTAAATTTCTCCCCCCTCCCCCCCACCAACTCCGTTTATTACCATTAGGTAATAATGGTACCTCATGGTACCTTTGTCCAATCATACTTCTCTGCAATTATCCACTTCTTCACCAAGCTTAGGATAACATTACAGACGTTTCCCTCTTTTTTTGGGTCTTCATCTCCAAAGGTTATGCTGTGTAAAACTTACATGAAATAAATCTGCCATGCTTTTCTCCTGTTAATCTGTCTTTTGTTATAGGGGCCACAGTCATGAACCCAACAGGGGAAAAAAAGATATTTCTTGTCCCCTGAAGACTTTTAGCCTCCAGGACAGTGAGATAGATAATAAACTCCTGTTTTTTACCCACCCTGTCAATGATACTTCATTACAGCAGTCCTACCAAACTGATACTATACTAGTTAAATAACTTGGAATTCTCAAGTTGGCTTTCTCTTCCTCTTTATGGTTTTCCTCTCCCCTTCCCCTTGCCTTCCACTCTACTATGTTGGATTAGGTCATGCTCTGGAGCCAGATTGGTCAACTCAGAGCTCTGCCATTTACTAGTTGTGTGTCCATAAGCAATTTGTGCCTTTGTTTCTCCATCTATAAAATGGGAATAATAAGAGTAACTCCCACTTCTTAGAATAAAGGAAATAATTGATGTAAGGCGCCTAAAATAGTGCCTGCCTTGCAGGGCAGAAATTCCCCGTCACTGTGCACAATCCAAGTATGTAAATGTCAAGGGTACTGAGTGGCTACTCTGAACAAACCCAGTGGTGTCAGTATTGAAGGAATAGATTCCAGATTAATAGAAGACATTGTTTCTGTTGAGCTGTTTCACTCCTGGGATTTATGATGTAATTGGAGACATGAGACACTTAGAGGAAACAGTTCATAATGCAAGGCATGACGTGATTACAGGATCGCAGGATCAGCATGCTGGCTCTGGCAAGCGTTTCTGACCCTGACAGCACCTGAGAACCCTTGAGGGTGCTTTGAAAATAGACCACTGCCTGGGCCTTTTCCCTAGACCAGTTAAACAGAATTTCTGAATCTTGAATTAATTGGTGAACCCCCCTTTGCCTCCATTTCCTCATCTGCAAAATTAGGGCAATACTTTACCTCAAATCTATTGCTGTGAAAATAAAGAGTGAATGCATGTAAATGCTTGTAATAGTGCCTGCCACATAATAAACACTCAATAAATGTGAGCGCTCATTGGTGAATAAATATTCAAACATGAATACCCCGTAGACGCTGCTGAAGCTTTTCAGAATGTTGATGCCTATTCACTTGGAAAACTCTCAGAACGACTTTCTCTGCTGTCCTTGTCGTGTGAAGGCTGTGGCAGTTTTAGAGTGCTTGAAACTAGCGCTCCTTGTTGGGTAGCATAGGAGGACAAGGTCCTTCAGTTGTTTACTTAAGTTGGTGCACACAATTTAGAGACATTTTAAAGGAATATTGCAGTCAACAGCTCCACAAATAATGCTGCAGAAACACAAAGATGAGCTGGCTGGGCCAGTGGAGGAAAGGCAAATGGGTTCTCTGGTAGATTCAGGAGGAAAAGTGATCCCAGAGCTTGAAGGTTTAGGATATTAAAGACAATGGGTTTTTGCTAAGTGCTAGGCCTTATACATGGATGATTTTATTTAATTCTTACACCAAATGGATGGTTGCTATTATCCATTCCCACATTACAGATGAGGGATGAAGGCCCAGAGGGGTTAAGTAACTTGCCTGAAGGTGGTAGACAAATGATTTAAATCCAGGCTGTCTCCAGATCTGCTCTCTTAATCACAGCATCACAGCCTCTGGACCCACGTGGAAGACCCTGTGGCTGAATCAACGGGTGGGTCACCTCAGATTCATCCTTCATCCTTTCCTCTTTAACTATTTTTCTTCTGTTTTGATCACCTCCTCTTGAAAGGGATGGATTTCCATCCTAGGGATGCAGGCATGGCTGAACGAGATACGATACCTGACACTGGACAGATGGTATGAACGGTGGTTTATTTATACATATGTTCACTCAAAGCCCCAGGAGGAGGACACCTCATGCGTGCAAGGCCACATGGCTGCTGCGCTTGGAAACGGAGGGAACAAGCAGAGGCAGGCAAGCTTTGCAGTATCAGGAGAGTGGTGTGCCCCCTGATTTGTGAGGGAGAATGTGGTTACCTTGTTTGAATAATTCCTTGGTCTGGCAGGGAACTGAAGCCCACTACTCAGGGGTAAGCAGGAACTGTACCTGGCTGCTGCTTTTTTTTTTTTTTTTTTTGGGATGGAGTTGCTCTTGTCGCCCAGGCTGGCGTGCAATGGCACAATATGGGCTCACTGCAACCTCTGCCTCCTGGATTCAAGTGATTCTCCTGCCTCAGCCTCCCAAATAGCTGGGATTACAGGTGCCCGCCAACACGCCTAACTAATTTTTGTATTTTTAGTAGAGATGGGGTTTTGCCATGTTGGCTAGGCTGGTCTCAAACTCCTGACCTTGTGATCTGCCTGCCTTGGTCTCCCAAAGTGCTGGGATTACAGGTGTGAGCCATCACACCTGGTCTCTTTTTCTTTTCTTTTCTTTTCTTTTTAAGAGATGATGTCACCCAGGCTGGAGTGCAGTGGTATAATCATAGCTCACAGCTCACTGCAGCCTCAAACTCCTGGGCTCAAGTGATCGTACTGTCTCAGCCTCCTAAGTAGCTGGGACTACAGGTACAAGCCACCATGCCCAGCCCTGTCTGATCTCTGATAAAGAGTGTTGTATGGCTAGAAAACCTTATCCTTGGGAGCGGAGTGAGGAGGGGAACTCGCATCTAGGTCATTTGGGGCCTGCCATACTTTGCCAGATGTCAAGGCAGCACGTAATATTGGGTGTTGACTTTAGGTCTTACATCATACCTTCTTCTTTTGTCTTCATCCTTTCCCCCACTTCCTGTGCTTTCCTTCTCTCTCCTCTCATTCTTAGGCAATGGGTTTAAGGTCAACAACACAGGCCTGGGCTCAGATTCTTGCCCTATCACTGACCAGCTGTGCAATTATAGGTGAGGTTCTCAAGATCTCTTGGCTTCTGCCTTCTTATTCCTAGAAATCAGAAAATATAAGTCCCTTTAAAATGCATCTGTTTCGAGATCTAAATGAAAGCCTGAAAAGCACTTTTATCACAGTGAAAAGTGCTCAATAACTGTCAGCCATGCTCATTTAAATGGCCTGACTCTGGTAGTGACATCTGGGGCCAAAGGGTAGCTCTTGATAGCTGTATCTGAAAGCCCATTTCAGGATGAGGCAGTGTCAGCTCTGTTAAGGTGACAGGATTGGGCCTGAGCTCTTAGAAACTTGGCCTCAATAAGACTCTAGCTGAGGTATCTTTTCTTTCTCAAGAATCTCAAGGTCTTAGGCCAGCACAGCCTGTGCACTCATGCTTACAAAAAAAAAAAAAAAAAAAAAAAAGACCCAAAACCAAACAGAAAAACGCAGAAACAATAGCTGTTTGGACCCACATGTCACTCTCTTATCTCCCACTGATGGCCTGTGCCAGTACAATCAATTGTTCCACTGTCCCATTTGGTAACTTGGAAACTGTTTGTGCTGAGGATCTATGATATGCACTTTGGCTGGAACTCATGTCCTTTTGGAGGTGAGGAGGGAGAAGAGGAAAGCAAGATGACCTGGTTGGGGACAGGCAATTCTCTAAATGCTGGCATAAAGGGATTGAGTTCTTGAAAGCAGGTAACTAGAAAGAGAATATTGTTCTACTTCCTTTTTTTTTCTTTATTCTCTGGGTTCACATTTCTAAGATCTTTAATTTTCAAAACTTAAACAAGAAAGTGTATTAATCTTAAATGTCTCCCATTAATCATCAAGTCCAGCCCAGTGACGAGAGATAGATGACTCACTTCCACAGTGGATTTCTTGGTAATGGTGGGTCAAGGTTTGCCCCTCCATTTCCCCTCCTGTCTCGCTAATGGAGAAAGCTTCCCCTTAGGAAGTACCCGTCTTGGAGCAATTTGTCAAGGGAAAATTGCAGGTGGGAATAGCCACTGACATGAAAATATTTCTCTTAGGGAAACAAGGTGAGTAGCATAGCATGGTGATTATAAGCATAGGCCCTACCTTTGAGAGTTGTTGTAGGATTAAATTACAGAATTAAATAAAGCACATAATTCAGTGTGGGATGTAGTAAGTAGGTCTGCGATAAATAGTGAATACTTACTACACCCCTTTACATGCCAGACACTGTACTGAGGACTTTTGCCATCATTTGAGCCTCATCATATTTTATTGACTGAGCTATTATTTCCCTCTGGCTTGCAGACGCAGAAGCCAAGATGCTACGTGATTTGCTCAAGATCACAGAGCTAGTAAGAGACAGAACCAGGATTTGTACCCATGTAATCGGACTCTGAATTGCATGTTCCAATCACTACACATGCTGCTGTCTCGGTGAACAATGACTCTTACTATGAAACAGGAGGCAAAATGAGCTTGCTGCCATGAGGATAGAGCCCAGGATGTTGTCCTGTATGTTGTAGAGTGATGTATCCTCTTCTACCCCAATGACCACTGGGGTCCCTGTAGGCAAATTAGGGGTGATTAGCCATAAGGAATAAATCCAGCCACTCCACTGTTTTTGCTGACTGATACTCAAAAGTTCTTTTCTAGAAACTTGAAATTCCACAATATCAGTAGGGAGGAATGAGAGGTTACTTTTAGTTCCCCAGGCAGCATGCCAAAGGTTAAGACGCTCTTTAAACAATTTTAAAGAGTTACCCTTTCTGACCCTGACAAATCTCATCCCATAAATGTCAGATATGTTGCTCTGCCACACAGCAGGTGGTCTGTCCCCAACTCCCAGTTAATGCTGGGCCCTGGCAAAGTCAGGAGGTCGTGCTGTGGGTTCTACAGAGGGGCCTGTCCAGATGTGGATGCCCTGGGTCTTGGGAGAGGGCTTCCAGAATGTGGGGCAGGAGGTAGTGCTGAAGGACAGCTTCAAATTCTGGGAATACTTGCAACAGTGAAAAGGCAAGTCTATTTTCATGTTGTTGAAGACAGTCCTACCCTCTAAGACCATCTGCAGATGTGAGTCTGGCAGTTTCTATGAAATGTCTTTGTCCCCAACTGGCAGAATCTAGAAAAACCCCGTGGGGTTGGAATGACCCAATTTGCTGACTCCGAAGCCAGGCTTTGGTTATCATGCAGGCAATTCTGTCTTCACGCAGTTGCATGCGGGTAAGGCTGGAGCAGACAGCATGTTCCAGAACACCTTAATGATGTCAGGACGCTTTTCATTGCTCATCTATCACATAACAGCTCAGATTTGCAATGTGCTACCCGCATTCTCCCTTGAGCACAGACAATGCATTCTTTCAACAGTGTGCGGTTCCATGGGAAGGGCTCTGCTGAAAGTGAAGTGGTGGGGTCCAGAGCTGCCCCTCTGGGAAGAAGGGGTGTGGGGGCAGGTGGGGACCAGATGCCTGGCCACAGCTGAGCTGGGGATGAGCACATGGAACAGCCACTTCTGGTTACACTTACTAATTTCTCTGTGCTGAAAGGTGTCATATAAATGCTAAGTAGAACAGAGAGATGGGGCCTATCTATTTGCATTTTGTCTAATGTGAGCAGATGCAGATAGAAAAGAGGCTTAGCCACGGCCGTTCACCTGCCCGCTAGGCCTTCCGTCCAGTTCATTTCAATGCCTCCCATATCAGTTCCACTCCAGCGCTGCAGCAGACATGGCATGGGGTGCAAAAGGGGCACGTGCCCTCTGTCCTCAGTGGGTTCGCAAAACTTGTGAAAGAGACAGGTTTAACCACAGGAGCCATCTGAGGACCATACAACCCAGCATATGGCTCCATGGTAAGTCATGGGGAACAGATGAAATGCTGGAGGAGGTCGTGGAAGAGAGGACCATGCGTGGATGGACAGGAAGACTTCTTAGGGGAAACAGACTGGACTTGTCCTGTGAAGCTGGCCAGCAGGTAGGGGGGCAAAGATGGTGAGCATCAAGGGTCTATGCCCTGTTCCAGACCCTCACATCTGCTATTCTGCTGACATACTCCCCTCCTCTCTTTCAATGGTTGGGACACCCTCATCAATTAGGACTTGGCTTAAAAGACTTCCATGAGGGCCTCCTCAACTGTTCTAAGTAGGAGCACTCTGTGCTGCATTATTCACTATCACAGTATTCTATTTTTTTCTTCCTCTGCTTAATACGATGCGTAATTAGATATTTGCTTGTTTCAGTCTTCCCCATTGCGTTTCAGCCACCACCCAGCCATGTGTCTGCTTCATTCACTATTGTATTCATAGACATGCACAATGCCTGGAGCCTAAGCGGTACTCAGTAAATACTTGTTGAATGAATGAGTGACCTTTGAGGAAAGCCTCATTTAGCAAATGTATTTGTTGGCCAGTTGAATCCAAGCTCTTGTTTTATATTCCAGAAAGAAAACCTGCAGATTCCATTGATCTGGCATGGAGCTGGATGTTTTTCAGGAAGAAGAGTTTTCATTAAAACACAACCATAACAAAGCAAGAAAAAAGAGCATTTGATGTAAGCATGCCAGTCAGGTCCACATGTCAAGAAACAGAATAAAAAGAAATAAAAATAGACAAACAATTGTAAATTATACCAAGACCCTGCATAAATATGACTTGTTATTATGCATAATACAATACATGGCATTTTAGTCTTGGAACCTGTCCAGTGTGGTTTATTATTGGAAGAATTGGGTGAATCTTGTTAAAAAACAGCTTCACCTAAAATTTGATCCCTAGATATGAACCCAGGGGACAATGTTAGAGGGAGTTTCCAAATATGGTTTTAAGTAAGGAGTTGTGGAGTTCTCATTTTATCCTCTTCAAAACTTCTTGTTTTGAATGGATGAGTAGATGGCATTGTTCTCCTTTTTAAAAACAATTTTTTTGCTTGGTGAAGACCAGAAGAATCATGCCAGCTCTAATGCAGGAGAGAAATATATTTTTAAAAATAAATATCCTTGGCTATACAGTTTATTGCCTTTCTATTCAAATTTAGTCTGAGCAATATATAATTTTAATTATAGAAATTAGATGCTAAATATCAGAAATATCCTTACATTTCTTGAGTTAACAAAAATGATCTTCCTTTACTTGTGTAAAATTTCATTTGGAAAAAGAGAACAGAGAGTAAAGAGATGGAGTAAAAAGATGTGCATTTGTAATGCTGGCTCTGTGCAATCAGTATCTTGATAACTATATTTTATACAAACTCTCCAGCAAAACCAGAGAGTCAAGATGTTTTAGGAATTACTCCTCCCCACTCCTCCACCCTCACATTCCACCACTGGGAGTCAAATTGTCTGTGGAAAAATACATCCGAATATTGAAAACGGCCTTCTGATTGAACTGTGGTGTATTCTTGAAGCTGCCATGCAGGAGTCTCATTTAGCAAATGCAAGAGTTTAAAAACCCCACAGATCAGGTACTTTATGATTTACAGAAGAGGAAAAATAACGCTGGTGGTTTGAGTTTTAAAGCACTTTGTCAGGACTGCCTATGATCTTCTTAATACTGACAAAGAATAATGACTCATATTTCTAACCATTATGGTTGGGTTGAGGTGAGGGTCAAAAGCTGGGCTGTATGAGATACTGGTTCCTAGCCGGTCCCCATCCTCCTCATCCCCACTGTTCTCTGGGCTGAGTCTATACTCAGGCAGAGGAGAGATAATTGCTATAGTCAAACTCAGGATTGCTGTGAGGGACCTCTTTCTTCTCTTCTTTTCTTTTCTCTTTTCTTTCTTTCTTTCTTTCTTTCTTTCTTTCTTTCTTTCTTTCTTTCTTTCTTTCTTTCTTTCTTTCTTTCTTCTTTTTCTTTCTTTCTATTTATTTATTTTTTTTGAGATAAGGCCTCACTCTTTCACTCAGGCTGGAGCGCAGTGGTGTGATCATGGCTCACTGCAGCATTGACCTCCTGAGCTTCAGTGGTCCTCCCATTTCAGCCCCCCTAGTAGCTAGGACTACAGGTGCACATCACCACAACCAGCTAATTTTTTCTCTGTGTATTTTTTGTAGAGACAGGGTTTCTCCATGTTGCCCAGGCTGGTCTGGAACTCCTTGGCTCAGGTGATCCACCTGCCTTGATCTCCCAAAGTGCTGGGATTATAGGTGTGAGCCACCATGCCAGGCCAGGATCTATTTCTTTTGTACCCTGGTTTACTTCCGGGTGTTGTATGCAGGACACTGATCAACCCTCACATTCTCTGCCTACAGTGTATATAACTGTGTTCAAAGGGCCTTTTCCCAGAGCCAGACTCTAAACCTTGGATATATACAGATGCCCAAATGCTGTAAAGTACTATAGAGTACAGATCATTATATAGTATGAATATGATCATTTCCAAAAAGCAATGTGATTTTAAAACTTGCTTTATTGCCTAAGCTCTGGAATTGATTATTTTTCAATCTTTTTTGGATACCTGTGTTATCTTGGTCTATTTAAATTAATAAGAATGATGGTTATGAATAATGTGCTGTCATTAACATTTACTTGGATGTCAGAGAATGGATGTTGGCAGTGGGGATATTTGTGTGGATGCAGAGCTTGGGACTCATTCCTTCTTACTCACTACCTTTAGAACTTACTCGTCCTTCTACTGTAGAGGATTGCACTCTAAAAGGGTAGATCTCTCAGTCTGGCAAGTGGAATCTCCGATGTGGAAATCAAAGAGACCGTATGCCTTCTAGCTTACCTTCCTGAAGAACTGTCAGACACTTAACAAATTTTTAGGCTTGTGTGCAGCATCAGGACAACAGGAATTATACGAGTAGATAGAAGGCATTAGGCTCTAGCATGTATTATTTTTAAGCCAGAGAATTAAACTGAAAGAAAACCGAGAAGAGAAAAACAAATTGATGAAATAGCATTGAAGATTGAGAAACAGATCAGTACACATGTTACTTGGACATGTATGTTAAAAGTGGTATAAAAATCAGTGGGGAAAAGATAACTTACTAAATTAATGGCGTTGGAACAATTTCCAGGGAAAAAAAAATTACTGGATTCGTTTCTCATACCACACACAGAAATAAACATAAGAAACAAAGTTATAAAAGAATGAGAAGAAAATACTTGATTTCTTCACTACTTCTAGAGTGAGAAAACTCTTTAAAATACCAATAAGTATATCCTATAAAGAAAAATATTTATCCATTTGAGTATATAAAGTGTAAAATTAAAACAGGAAGGATGAGGCAGGGAGAGAATTTATACCAGGTATTACAGGCAAAGGATTAATGTCCGAACTCTATGAAGGAAGAGGGTGGGAGGAGGGTGAGGACAGGTAAACTACTTACTGGGTACTACGACGATTACCTGGGTGACAAAATTATCTGTATACCAAACCCCTGTGACACACAATGTACCCATGTAAGAAATCTGCAGATATACCCCCTGAACCTAAAAGTTGGGAAGAAAATAAAAGAAAAGAAAATATAAACATTCAAAAAAAGAGAGATAATACATAAAAAAGAAGCCACTTTAAAAATAAGCAAAGAGCAGAGAAAGACAATTCAAACAGGAATAAATCCAAATGGCAAATAAACACATTAAAAAACTTTCTATCGTATTGGTAATCAGCAAAATGCAAA